AAAGCAGCATGCTACTCTCTTATGAAAATGATTTTTTTAATTATGTTATTTTAAGCAGAAGCATAACCGAAAATGCATATTGAGCAAAACAGAATACTCCAGTGGGCACACAAAAAAAGAGAGGGCTTTTGAGAGAGGCAGGAGCCCACACCGGGGCCCTGATCATCTTAACCCTTTCCAGTCTGGTTTCCTGGCTGAGGCAGCTCCTCAGCAGAACAGCTGGGATTTCCCCGATCCCCCCGCCCCGTTCTCCGTCACCGCTACTTTCCCTTCTCAGTGTCTCAGCCTTGTCCGCTTCCCCCTGGGCCCCAGCTGTCCTCAACTGCAGCCTGTAATCTGCTCAGACCCTTTGGGGGTGAGCCCCGTCCCGGGCTGAGCCGGGGTGGGCTACTCCACGTACGTGATGGCCAGGACCTCACAGGGTCCCCAAGTCCCTGAGGAGCCACCAGCGCCCCCTCTTTACTGGTCCCTTCATGATCTGCCTTTCCATCAGCACACAGAGGAGGCATCCAGCCTTCCCTTCTGTCCTTTCCAGTTCCCCAGGGATACTCCCGGGCAAGGCCAATATCATCTGTCTCTAATGGAAGCAAACGGTTTTTTTTAAGGTCCCGGGACCCCCTAAGAAACCAGCAAATGCCCTTTTTCCTTCCAGCAAACCCGCTGCCTGTTCTGCAGTGTCAGCCTTTACATTGGCACCCCGCAGCCACCCCCTAGCAGTCTTTGTATGTCCCCTGTAGGGGCAGTAACTGTCTAACAGAAGGTGCTGCTTGGGGCACCTGGGTGACCCGGTCGGTTAGGCGTCCGACTCCCGGTGTTGGCTCCGGTTCGCGATCTCACAGTTGGTGGGTTCGAGCCCCGTGCCTGGCTCTGCGCTGGCCGCTCAGAGCCTGCTTGGAATTCTCTGTCTCCCTCCCTCTCTGCCCCTCCACCCCCCAAAATAAATAAATTAAAACTTTACGTAAATAAATAAAAGGAGGTGCCAGTCATGCTGAAGACCCCTGGGTGGGGCACGTTCACGAATCTTCTCATCTGTAAGAGGTTGTCGTGAGCGTGAGAGAGAGAGAGACAGACAGAGTTCCTCCCCCCAGTGCCTGGTGTGTGACAGCCCCGGAGCATTTAACTGGAATGGCTTGGAGGCACCTCAAACTTCAGATGGCCGAGAGTCGAGCGCTTCACGCATCCACCATGAGCGCACTCTCCGGCGTGTGCCCCAGCGTCCCCACCCGGACACAAGGATCGGTGTCTGCCACCCCCATCCCCCCCATGACACCTGACCCGGTCTGCAGGTGCCCGCGGGGCCCAGCCCCGTGCTTTAGCTCCTTGCCTCTGGCCGCGGCCTCCACACCGTGCCAGAAACCTACCCAAAGCGACCCTTCACAGGACCCGATGCGGTGCACCTTCCACTTAGTTGGGCCTTGCCGCGGATGTCGCTTTTGGGAAGGCCGTCCCTGAGCCGTCAGTGCCCAGTTGCCCCCAGCGTGTCCCCCGTTCTCTGAATAGCGCCCATCACTGTCACACGGGTTTATGTCTGCCCCTCCCTCCAGACTTGGAGCAGGGCTCGGCCTTGCATCTAGAGTGGCGCCTGGCCTGCGGTGGACGCCCGCCATCTGGTCACCAAGTGAGTGGATTCCACGCGTAGTGGCCGCTTCCATTGTTAGTGTGCAAATGGGAGCGTGTTTACCTGAACTGCCATATGTGTATCATGTTATTTGTAGAGAAGGTTAAAGGGGATTTGAGGGATTTGGCAGCTGAAATGGGGACGCTCCCATCAAGTCTCCGTTGCTTCCTTATATTTGAAGGTCGGAGGGGAACTGACTGACTGACGGAGCCCACGAGGAACTGTGACTGGGTCCGAGAGCAGGCCCCCTTGCCCCGCGGTCTGCACCCACACACGCTCTACTCGAGATGCTGCAACTGCCCCCTAACACTCAATGCAGAAATGGGCGAGTTTCTGCTCAGAACAATAGGAGTAAAAAAAAAAAAAAAAAAATCACCACTCTGTCTTTTAGGGGACGGGAAAGCCCGCCGCCTTTGTCCCTCTGCAGCCCACGCTGTTGAGGAATACAGATAAGAGATTAAAAGAAGGGCTCATTCCTTCTGATCCTCTTTGGCATGTGCACGCCAGGGGCCCTTCAGGACCTTAGAGCCCCAGCCTGGGTTTCTGAATGATTCTGAATTATTTAAACCGCCTTCTCTCCTGCTGGGTTGTGTTTCAGCGGTAGTATCCACCCTCTCCTTCTCGGAACATTCCCACAGATGGGAGGCAGGTGGAGTGCGCTCAGTAGATCCTCCTTACCTGAAATAGGACTGTGGTGACAAAATTTCAGCCTCTCTGTGCGGGATGCTGCTGGCCAGGGCAGGTGACACAGTGAGTGGGTGAGCGAGCCCTCAGCTCTCTCAGCGGGGGACCCCCAGGGGAGCACTTCGGTGTCAGGAACAGGGCACCGAGGGTGGTTTGCCCCGTGGGCTCACGAATCGGTGCTGAAACACACCGGTCCCGGGTGGCTTTTAGGAAAGCCTTTCTTTGCACACGTGGGCTCCCACTGATGCCTCTGGGGACCCTCCACTGCAGTGGCATCGAGCGCTTTCTGTATTCTGCTCCCGAGAGGCGACGGAAAAGGCAAATGGCCATTCCCTTAAGGAATTTTGCATTCAAGCAGGAAGCAGAAACGACGAATGACTGCACGCCGGGGTTGAGCCAGTGGTAGATGCAGGTGTGAGTAGCTCCCAGAGACGTATCCTAGCTCAGGCCCCTCTTCAGGACGGCCTGGTTGCCATCTGGGTGTCCCAGAAGCGTGTCAGGGTGAACACATCCCAGGTCACGCTCCTGCGCTGTTCTCTGAGCCTTCCCCGTTTTTCATCTCATAGAATGGCTGGCATCTCCGGGGGCCCCTAAACCAAGGGGGTGCCCTCTCCTTCCCCTCCTTATTTACTCTACACTCACTCCCTGCCACTTGGCCTCCTAAAACCCTCTCAAGTCCCTCTTTTCTCCCACTGTCACCACCTTGACCGCAACACCCGTCCCCTCTCATTTCCTCAGCCCCTGATGGAACCTTCCGTGCCTGCTCTGGGCCCCGCCAGCGTGTTCTCTCTCAAATTGGCCAAGTGACACTGATGCCCTTTCCTCACGCCCCCCGCACACGCACAGGTGCTCACACACACACACACACACACACACACGCTGAAACGTGTTCCCCTGTCTCCATGGCTTTCTGTTGCTTTGGGGATCAAGCCAGTGCTTGGAAGGCACACCCCGCCGAGTTGGGGGTGGCGCGCCCTGCCTGTCCCTCCAGCCACACTAGCTTCCCTTTTCTGATTTTGATACGTTTTTTCCATTATCGTACAGTCCAGCTGACCTCTTTTCCTTTCTTTTTTTTTTTTTTTTTTTTTTTAATTTTTTTTTCAACGTTTATTTATTTTTGGGACAGAGAGAGACAGAGCATGAATGGGCGAGGGGCAGAGAGAGAGGGAGACACAGAATCAGAAACAGGCTCCAGGCTCTGAGCCGTCAGCCCAGAGCCCGACGCGGGGCTCGAACTCACGGACGGTGAGATCGTGACCTGGTTGAAGTCGGACGCTTAACCGACTGCGCCACCCAGGCGCCCCCTCTTTTCCTTTCGATAGACAGCTCTGTGAATCCTAACGCGTGTTCTCATCTCCTTGTAATACCTCCTCTACACCGTGCACCTTCCGGCCCCTTCGTGACCACCTCTTCCTCCGCCAGCCCTCACGGGACTAGGTCACCTGTCCCGCAGAACTCAGCCCAGACACCCCCTCCTCTGAGAGGCCTTCTCTGCCTGCCTCCACTGGGTCTCGTTCTGTGTCCTCATCGCACGGACTTCCGCACGGCAGTGGGGTGCCGACGCAGACTCAGTAGTGTGGCTCTTGATGAATGCCTCGATGGCGAGCCGCCTTCCGGAGGGGTGGATTTGTGCTCCCCAGCGCCCGGCACGGTGCTCGCCACTTAGTAGGCACTCAGTTAGCACTTTCTGCGGGAGTAAGTGAACAGCGAGTCGCCTGCTCGGGAGTGGGCTGCCTGACTCGTGGGGGCTGTCTTCACAGCACATGGGCTCGTTCTGTTTCCTCCTGTCACCTCCTTTTGTAGAACCTAACATCATCTGATCTGTGATGGTTCGCTAAGGGGCATGAACCCTACCTAACATCCTATGTCAGGATTAAATGAGGTAAACTGTGTCAAAGGCTCCCCATAGGTGCCCGGTGAGCGGCGGCCTTCATCCCACCGCTGTGGGGGAGGGGAGGCCCTGTTCCAGACAAAAGGGCTAAACGGTGCTCGCGATACTAATACATCCTCGTTGCTGGCCGAGCCACACACAGGCTCCCGTTCTGCTCAGGGGACCGTGTTCCTTTATGTCACTCCATCTATTTGACACATGCTGTCTTCGTACCTCCTGCCTGTCACATGGCGCCGGCCCGTGGAATGTGCCAGACGCTGCCCTGGGAGCCCTGGCTGTGCTCAGTGACGCAGCCAGGACAGGGACAAAAGCCAGGTTGCTCAGCGCAGGGGGGGGGGGGGGGGGGGGGGGGGGGGGGCGACACCCCCCACCGTGAGCCGGGGGCCCCCCCGCCCCCCGGGGGGGGGCCTCGGAGAGGAGACCGCCTCCGCCTCCCCCAAGCCCCCTGCGCAGAGGTCCCACCGGTGTAGGGGGCCTCTGGTTGTCGCGATGCTGGGACGTACGGTGGGCGCTGGGTGGATGGGAGCCACAGATGCCCAGTGCCCCGCGGTGGGGGTGCGGGGTGGGGGGGGGCGGGGAATCTTGGAGAGTGTGAAGTTACCCCCTCCCCCGGGCTTGTCCCCCGATGCCAGGCCTGGACAAGGTGGAGGCGAGAACAGGGACGGGCAGAGACTCTGAGATCCGGGTGACATCCGGAGGGGCCACCTCGGGGCCCGAAGGGCTTTGCGGGCGAGAGGCAGCGATGCCTTCGTAAGCCTCTGATGACAGCGTGTCTTGCTTCCCCTTTTCCCCTCAACCCGCACACAGGAGCGTTTCTCCTGGGAGGGATCCTCTACTCCTGGCAGTTCCCCCACTTCAACGCCCTGAGCTGGGGCCTCCGTGAAGACTACTCCCGCGGCGGCTACTGCATGATGTCGGTCACCCACCCGGCCCTGTGCCGGCGCGTCGCCCTGCGCCACTGCCTGGCCTTGATCGGACTGTCCGCCGCCGCCCCCGTCCTGGACGTCACCACGTGGACCTTCCCCGCCATCTCCCTCCCCATCAACCTGTATATTTCCTACCTCGGCTTCCGGTTCTACGTCGACGCGGACCGGAAGAGCTCCCGGAAGCTGTTCTTCTGCAGCCTCTGGCACCTGCCCCTGTTTCTGCTGCTCATGCTCACCTGCAAGCGGCCGCCAGGGGCGACCTGTGCCGGGGGGGAGCCTCGGGGTTGACCCCACGTGGGCGCGTGGGGAAACAAAAGCAAAAAAACGTACGGGGAGACGCACTTTTTTTTTTTTTTTTTTTTTTTTTGTGCTTTGCGGTGAGACCAGAATATTTTGTCAATTCTAGAAGCGGAGAAGGGAAATTGCCCGGTTTGGTAGGAGATTGTAAAATGATTTGATGCTCCGTGATCACGCGACGTTTTTTTTAATGGTAGCATCCAAGATGCGCCCCAAATGAGAAATGGGTTGGCTCAGGTGATTAATAAGAGAGAGAGAGTATTTTTCTCTTTAAGAGTCTTTGTAGATTTCTTCCTCTAACCCCCGACGGCCCCCTCCCCGTTGATTTTCTTCTTTGTGGGGAGGTACAGGTCCACGTCTTCCCTTTCTAGCCACACACACACGCACGCACACACTCACAGACAAACACGCACACACACTCCCGGCCCGCCAGTCGGAATGCTCCCTGGTGACCAGACGCGTTGATCAGGAGTACTCGGTCTGGACTTTCTGTGTCCTCAGGTCCCCGGAGGGCCACATCGGAGGAAGTGCGCCCTGCCGGCCCTCCCCGTGAAAGAGCCAGGGCCCCGAGTCCAGCTTTCTCACATATATTCTCAACCGCATACTCCCCCAAACAATAATAGAACCCGAAGGGTGTGCTGCCGGCCCATCGCCAAGGGAGAATTCCAAACGGTTGCCTAGGGGACCCCAGACGGGACTGCCAGCCCCTGGTCCACCCCCGTTACGTATCAGCATTTCAAAAACTCCAAGGAATCAAAGGCATCTTTATATAGTTCACTTGAAAATACAGGAGGTGTCTGAAGCGTTTTCTTTCTGGAAGGGTGGCGCCAGACTTCGTACCAGCCATCGGGCGGGCTCTGACCCCTTCGTGTCACCCGTCAGCCACCGGTTTGCTGCGCGGCTTCTCAAGGCCGATGGAGAAGCGAAGACAAACAAACAAACAAACAAAAACGTGAGTAGGCCTAGCCAGCCACAGAGCTCGCGTTCGCGTCCCTTCGGTGGAAAACGCCGTTCTCTCCCGGGATCTTCTGAACTCAGAAATCAGCCTCCGTGCATCCGGTGGCCAGAAGCTCGGGTCCGACTCTGGGCAGGGATGCGTCCGTCCTGGGAGTTGTGCGAGCTAACCTGGAGCCAGGCACGTGTGGTCCCTTCCATCCGTCCGTCCTTTACATATGGTCCTTGTCCGCTGTCGAATCCCACTTGCCTGAAGGTCTCGATGCTTAACGGGGTGTTTTCCTTGCTCAGTCTGTGGGGGCACTGCTGGGATTCATTGTGGGGAGTATTTAAGGCGACATTTAAACGGTCACTGCAGCCTGCCCGTTCTCAAAATTGTCTAAAGCGACTGCCGAGAACATGTGACCCCCGTTTCTACTTCTGTGCGGTATTACCTCCCGGCTGTATCCAGGTCCTTTCCTGTGGGGAACGTGGCATAGGAATGTCTGCAAAGAACGTCTACACCCTGTTGCAGCCCTCAGGTTTGTAAAATGCCTCCATTCTCTCCTGCTGCAATAAACCAGTAGGTGAGAACAGCAGTGGGCGTGATGTCGTGTATTTGTTCGCCTTGTACCGAGTTGACACGGGGCCTGGCAGAATTGCTAACACTCGACTCGCTTTTATGAGCGAGCAGGGGTTGGAGGGCGATCGGTATTTCTGTCCCAAGGTGGTGGAAGGAAGCGCGTTGGATTTTTTTATACCTGTACACCCGAAACAATAATGAGCATGCTTATTACTAATAAAAGAAGAAGGGCCATGACCCGCCCGCCCTTCCCCTACCTTCAGCTTGGAAACACCCAGCCTCTCCCTTCTTCCTACGAAACCAGCACCACAGACATCATCCTCCAGGGCTCCCAGACCTGTCGTTCTCCTGCTCGGAAAAGGTCAGTGGCCAGTGCACCATCTATCTGAGCAGCAAATGAAGTCACAGCTTGTCAACGCTCAGACCCAGTCTTCTCTCCAGGGATCTTCCATGTGAGAACTTCCCTTCATGTCCCCCACCGCCCTGAAGGCACCCTGTTCTCAGGTGACCCCACCAGCTCCCCAAAGCCCGGTGCCGTATGTCCCGGTGTGGAACGTGGATTTCAAGCTCCGGTGACCACCCCCTTTCCCCAGGCCAGGATGTCACTCGCTCACCTGGACTCCTGGGGCACCTCGTTTCTTCACACCTGCTACAGCCTCTGACCTTGACCACCTTTCCTAAGGAATGCTCATCAGCATTCCCCAGGTGCGTGAAGCATGTTCTTTAACGGGGTATCTTCGGGAAGTCATGTCCACGCTGCAGCACTCTTGGGGGCATCACCAGGCACAGTGCGTAGCATGGCCTCATGGGACTCAAAGTTAAGTAAAAATTAAAAACCTGTGTTTGCTTCCGCTGGCGATCCCCTAACGTACTAAGCAGCCACAGGTCCTTTCTCGGAACGCCTCCCGCCCGGTGCGTGGAGTTAGCGGCCTCCTGGAGCGACAGCCCGGGACGTGCCATCTGGACTAATCAGTTTTCACTCATGGTCCTTCAGGCCACTCGGTTGTAAGTGCAGGGGGGAGGCCCGGGGGCCGCACGTGCGGGAGGAGGGGCTTGAGCTACCAAATGGGGTTTCACAGGGAGGCCGCTTATTCTACAACACAGCTTAGGAGTGAAAAGGAAAATGGACACATCCGGCCCCTGAATTCATTTTTTTTTTAACGTTTTATTTATTTTTGAGACAGGGAGAGACAGAGCATGAACAGGGGAGGGTCAGAGAGAGGGAGACACAGAATCTGAAACAGGCTCCAGGCTCTGAGCTGTCAGCACGGAGCCCGACGCGGGGCTCGAACTCACAAAACCACAAGATCGTGACCTGAGCCGAAGTCGGCCGCTTAACCGACTGAGCCACCCGGGCGCCCCTGAATTCGCTTTTTTGAAAGCACAATTCTTAGCATAATATTACTTCTGACTCTGGGCAGGCTGGACCCACTTCCTTTTATTTCAGGAAAGCCACTGTATCAATTACCAGGATAAAACCACACGTCCCCGAAGGCTGTTAGGGGAATTGGCTTTGCTTGCTCCCGGGATCAGCTTTTCTTTTCAGACATGAAGCGGGCTCCGTCTGGCCCAGTAGGCTTGCTGACCCTGGTGTGACAGGAGGCTCACTCCTCTGTTTCTGCTGGAGCCGGGGTCTCTGACACCCGCCTCTCCCCGCCTCCCCGACACGCTCCGGGCGACAGGACACTTGTCACTGACTGCCGGAAATGCCCACTTGACCCTTCCGGTGACGTGCTCGGGTTCCCACGAGAACACCTCGTTTGACTTGAATGAAGACCGGAGTCTAGAAGAGGCCTTGTTGGTTCTCTCTTGGGAATCAGAGGCCAGCCAGTGATTACCCCCAAAGCTCTGCGTCTGTCGGCAGGCACACTTCCTCCTTCTGGTAGGATCAGTGGTATTAACCACCCAGGCATCGAAGGCAGGTGGAAATTAAACAGGTCCAGCAATGGCCGTGGACGCTTGGCGGGCCGCTCTTGGTTTTTCCCCAGACGCTGTCAAACCACAGGTAAGTTGATACCTGCCAAGCTGCCCAGAGTAGAGGCAGAAGCCTCTTCTTCGTTGGAAACTCAAATATAATAGACCTCATGCTGGGCACAATACAGTGTTCCAGCGTCTTTGGGCCACAGTTTGCCAACCAAACAGAAGATGCAAAGAGATGTTTCTGGATCAAAGAGCCTCTGGCCCTCACTTCCCGATCCGGGTCCTGTTCCGCAGTCTCTGGGCCCGCCTCGCCCATCCCGGATCATCGGAGATGCCGCCTGACCTCCCCAAGCTTGCGCTGTGACCGGCCCAGCCTGGGTCACCACCCCCTGAGCTCTGTCACGGAGGCCACCGGCCGGAAGACGTCTGCTGGCTGGGGCCACCGCTCACCCCCTCTGCTGCCACCAGCTTGCAGCTTCTACGTGGTTTGGACTTTGCCTTCTCTAACGTCAGACCACTGCTCCAGCCCCCACCATTGCTGCTGTGCCTGTCTCCCATCGGGCCCATCAGTATGCAACCTGCCTGTTGTGTTTACCCGTTTACGGTAAAATTTACCTGCTTCCCCAACAGCCCCGTTAGACCACAGCCCCAGTAAGGCAGGACTGTCTCTTACCGCTGTAGCCACTAGCCCCTAAAACCCGGGGTGACAGGGCAGACGCTCCATCGGTGACAGAAGGAATGACTGAGTGGCTTTAGGGGAGTGGCTGGAGGTGGAGGGTCCAGGAGCTGGAGACTCCTGGACCCGCGCTTGAGTGGGGGGAGGGGGGGATAGACCAGCACATGCCCCGTGTGACAGAATCTGGGGCAGGTGCGGCATTCTGTTTCTGGAAGAAAATCAGCCTAGTTGAGCCAGGAGGAGTTGCCGTCATTTCTACTTGATTTCGCTCAGTCTTTCTTCTCCAAATTGTGGTGAATTTTTACCATTTCCTTTATCTTTAGGGCTCTCTTGGCTCAGCCACTGAGCGGCAAAGCATCCTTAGGCAAGCTGACTTCTTGGACCCTGTTTCTCTCTCCCACCCCTCTCTCTCTCTCCTTCTTCTTCCTTTTTTTTTTTTTTTTTTTTTTGTTTTGGCTTTTTCAGATACATCAGCAGAGAATCTAGCGTCTAGCTCCACCTCCTTTCCCCAAAGTCACTGTTTTGACTCATCCCCGGCAACCGTGAGCTCAGCTAACACCCTCTGGCGTGCGACCGCCAGCCTGCATCCCGGGGGTCAGCTGAAATGAACGGACCCCCACCCGCTTCATAAACTGGGGGACCCTCCTGGGAAGTGCAAGCTGAGAGAATGAGGGCCCCCGAGCACAGAGAAGGTCGAGAAGGCAGGTCACCCAGATCGCGTGGGGGAAAGTGGGGCACCAGCGTCTTGGCAAAAGCCAGTCTGTCCTCAGCGGACAGCAGCCCGCGGTCACTGCGGCCTGGGGCACCTGCCAACCCTGCTCTTCGCAGACAGCTCCTGTCGCCAAAGCAGAGCCCAGCACGGAGGTGGGAGCTGGCAGGAGGAGGACGGGTAACCCCACCCCGCCCCCAAACACCTCAAGACAGCAAGGCAATGAAGACAAACAGTCCGAGAGGCATCGGGCAAGACGGGAGGCATCCGGCAAGAGAAACACACGAACGCAAACCCAGAGAAAGCATCAAGGGAGGGAGAGGCAGCCCACCCTCAGACGGGATGGTTAACTCAACAGCCACGGAGTCTCCTCTCCGCCGAGCAAATAACTGTCGGAGGGCACTGCGTGCCAGGCCTTCTGCGGGACGAGGGGATGAGCCAGGATCGTCCGTGACCCCTCCCCGAGTTCACTCTGGAGGTTGGCAGGGCGGGAGGACTGCGGTGGCAGGGCGGGGGGCACGGGGCCACTCCAGCCTGTGACTCCCGAGTCCTTGGATGGTCTCCGGGCCCCACCGCCTTGCCAGGGGATCGTCTCTGCTCAGCCCCTTCGGGGCCTTCTCCACACCGACTTCTCTGCGACCCTGGTTCTTGCGTCCCTTAGTTGGACTCTTTGACCCTGTCTTTGAGGCTCCGTACCCATCACAGGGCGGTCTGGCCGTACCTCTCACTGTCTCCTAAGGACATCCGAGCCAGACTTAGCCTACGACTCTCCACACCCCGCTCACACCCCCTTTTCTTTATGGGGCACACTGGTGCCAAGGAACCCTCCCAGCTGGGTTTCTGTGCCCAGGAAACAATGCAGCGTCGGCAGGCTGACTGTGGCAGGGGAGGAGAGCCTGGGAGCGAAGGCATTCCCCACACACACCAGGGTGAGCAAGGCCCCGCGTGCAGGAAGATCGCCTGGCCAGGTTTGTGTCGAAAAATTCGGGCCATGGCGTGGAAGGTAGATGGGGACACCCGGGGAGACCAGCTGACGATAACGCGTCTGAATCCGGGCCAAGGAGGGGGAGGGGCGGAGGGGAACCCGCAGGCCTGGCTGGGTGATTGGCAGAAAGGAGATCGGGGACATCCCAGGGTCCCGGCTTGGGAGCCAAGGTGATGCCGTTCACCGAGGGGGGAGTCCCTCTTCCGTGGTTCCCTTCTCGTCCTCTGCCTGTGTTCCCTGATGGCCTTGACTGCCGGTCTCATCTCCTGTGGAGGACCCAGGCTGCCCCCACCCGTCCCCGAGCCTCTGCCTGGCATCTCCCCGCTGCCTGGCACTCGAGAGGAAGCTTCTTGGCCAGGTGCTAGAAGAAGCAGCTTGCTCAAGACCGTGTGCCTTGGCGTGTCCCCTCCCTCCGGTGCCTCTGCCCCAAAGCTTCTAGAACAGGAGCTCCTCCCTCCCCTCCCCCCACCCACCCTCCTAAGGCTCTCTAATCTAAATAACCCACCAGCCAATTCGTTTGTTCAGACCCCCGCAGCCTGCCATTTGACACTTGTTCGTCTCTAAACTATAGATGATCTACCCAGAGCTAGAAAAAAATCACGGCTACTCTCTTGGCAGAGCGTGCCCTCATCAGATAACCGTTAACCAGCCTTTGTATCCGTGTGGGCTCCTAATTGCAAGTGGCCGGAAACCCAGCTGAAAGAGGCCTAATTAAGAGTAGAGATG